TCCCGCTCCAGGTCTGCTTCATCGGCCGCAGCAACGTGGGCAAGTCCTCCCTCATCCGCGCACTCTTCGCGCTCAGCCCCGACAGCGTGGAGGTCCGCGTGTCCAAAACGCCCGTAAGTGCCCACGCTCGCCGGGCTACCTGGAAGCCCCACGCGCAGCCCCGTGGGGCGGGAGGGCCCGGCCGCTGTGCAAATGGGGCAGCCAGCGGCCGCTTTGGCCCCATGGGCAGCACCGGCTCCCAGGGAGAGTCGGGGTGCCTGGTGAGCCGGGCATGGGCGGCATAAACGCTTGGTTTAAAAAGCATAAGCATCTGTGCAGCCCTGGCAAGGCCACATCTGGAGACTGTGTTCAGTTCTGGGCTCCCCAGGACAAGAGGGATGTGGAGCTGCTGGAGAGAGTCCAGCGCAGGGCTACCAGGATGATCAGAGGCCTGGAACATCTGCCCTATGAACAAAGGCTGAGAGAGCTGGGCCTGTTCAGCCTGGAGAAGAGAAGGCTGAGGGGGGACCTGATCAGTGTCTATAAATACCTCAAGGGAGGCAGTGAGGAGGGGGCGGCCTCTTTTCAGTGGTGGACAGTGATAGGACTAGAGGAAACAGCCTCAAACTGAAGCATCGGAAGTTCCACAGAAACTTAAGGAAACATTTCTTGACAGTGAGGGTGACAGAGCCCTGGYACAGGCTGCCCAAGGGAGGCTGTGGAGTCTCCTTCTCTGGAGATCTTCCAAACCTGCTTGGATGCAGCCCTGTGCACCGTGCTCTAGGTGACCCTGCTTGAGCAGGGGGGTTGAACTAGATGATCCATGGAGGCCCCTTGCAACCTTAAGGATTCTATGATTCATGGGAGCAACCATAGTGTTTTTGGTGCCTTCTCCGAGTGGGAACAGTGTAGGTGTGTTCTCTGTCAGGTTAGATATTAGGAAGAATTTCTGTTCGGAAAGAGTGGGGAAGCCTCGGAAGAGGTTGCCCAGGGAAGGGGTGCAATGTTCAAGAAACGTGTAGATGAGGCACTTAGGGACATGGCTTAGCAGGCACGAGGGGATGAGTCGTTGGTCTCAAAGATCTTGAAGTTCTTTTCCCACCATAATGATTCTATGTAAGGCATCTACGCTTAAATTGACCTTGTCTTCTGTGTACAGCAACTTTCTAAACCCTGTTGTCCATGCTCAGCTTTTTTTTGTTTGTTTGTTTTCTGTCCCCAGGGCCACACAAAGAAGATGAATTTCTTCAACGTAGGGAAGTATTTTACTCTGGTGGACATGCCCGGCTATGGCTACCGCGCCCCGCAGGACTTTGTGGAGATGGTGGAGGCCTATCTGCAGGAACGGCCCAAGTAAGGGAGTACCTGCGGACGCCGCGGCTTAACCTCCCCTTCACAGGCAAGGAAGCCCTGGGTATTGGCATGCAGTGTCACTGGGTGAAAAACAGCGCTTGAGAACAGCGCTCCTCATTCTGAGGTCATTCCCCTGGGATCCTCTGTGGGGATGGCTGTGGTCTGAGGTGCTCATTCCTGCTTAGACAGACCAAAAGACCCCAGAAGATTAAGGTGCCGCTCTGCACCAACCCTCTCAGTTCCTGTGTACTGGAACTTATTTGGACTCCTCCTGCCTCCAAACCCCATTACTTGTTGTTGCCTGTGTACTTAGAAGTAGCACAGTAGCCATGAAATAACAGTCGTGGTTGTTGTTACCTGTATTTCTGGCAGCTTGAAGAGAACTTTCTTATTAGTGGATGGAGTAGTCGGACTCCAGAAAACTGATCACATCGGCATAGAGATGTTGGAAGAGTTCGGGATTCCTTACGTGGTAAGTGACACTGCAGCCTTGAAACAGCAAAGGCAGCATAACCCATGTTGGTTATAAGCCAGTGGTAATCTATACGTGCATGTACTCTCTTCATTAGCTTATTTATGCAAGTTATGTCCCTTTCCAGTAGTAGTGTCATCCCTTGCCTCCCCACATTTCTTTATTGTTAACAAAATAGATCTAAAATGTGTAGGTTATCTTGGGGTTTTTGCAGGAGGTTGGCTTGGTTTATTAAAATGAAAAGTTTTTCCAGTGTTCAGCCTTAGGGCCTTGAAAGGGTCTGGTCCTCATGGAGGCTATAGAAGTGCTCAGATGAATTGTGCTGAAACATTTTTTCACTTAAAAAAGATCCAGAGTTTTCAGCCTGCCTTGTAAGGCTAGCTGCTCTTAGAGATGTTCTAGGCCAGTAGCAAAATAGTCATTTTCTGTCAATCCTCCCTTTCGAATCCATGCAGCTGGTGCTGACAAAAATCGACCGCGTATCCAAGGGAGTCTTGCTAAAGAATGTCCTGAAGATCCAGGAGTTTGTGAAGGAGGAGACTCAGGGGTGCTTCCCTCAGCTCTTCCTGGTCAGGTAACCTGCCTGGCTGCCCTTTCCCTGCAGCTAAACCGCGGGGCCAGCTCCCTGCAGCGGGCGAGCGGTGAGCGATGGGTCTGGCCATGCGGCAGCGCGGGGCCCCAGCCTGCGCCTCTGCTCCCACAGCGCGCTCGAGTATTCGGGGGTGCACTTGCTGAGGTGCTTCATAGCCCACGTTACGGGAAACCTGCCTCTCATGGAGGGTGACTGAGCAGATCCTGAACCCCTCGGCATGTGCAGGACAAGAGGTACCCACTTGACAGCTTTGGCTTTATTTTATTTATTGTAAAACCTGAAGTACTAGGGTTTTGGGGACAGGGGAAAGGGGAGGTTAATTTAGCCAAGTTTCTTGGTTCATATTTGCAAGGATAAGCTTTTTGATGAATAAACTCATCATTCAGGAAATTTGCAGTGCAGAGGAATGCACTTTATTAACCAATAGTTCTATAAAACCCATGTGATTGTGCCAGGAAGGCAAGAACAGAACTGTGCAGAGGAGTTAGAGGAAATGCTGCATTAAAACCTCTTTTGCTCCACCAAATGTTCAAAAGCTGCTACTGCCTGCCTAAATGCTGCTGTATTTGGGACACTGGAGAGAGTCCGCTAATCTGATTAATAAAAAGGCATTTACAGAATCACAGAATCTTCAAGGTTGGAAGGGACCTCTAGAAGTCCAACCTTCCTGCTCAAGTAGGCACACCTAGTGCCTTAAACACACATTTAGTTTAGAAAAGACTGATAGCTGTTGTATTAAAAAAGCCATGGCTGCCCAATTTGAGTGATAAGGAGTTCACCAGCCTCGGCTGGTTTAGCTATCTACTGCCTGGAGCAGAAATGGCCAACACTTCATGTAGGAGGATGTTTTTAGGAGCGACCTGGCTGGGAAGCTGCCTCCTCTGCTCCATATGTTCAGCAGCTGCAGTGAGATGGCACAGCTGGCTTGGACACACSAGGCTGTCCCCATTCCAAGCACAGGAAGGAACGGAAACAGCTTTTAACGGGATATGCCTTTTGAGGGCTCTTGGCTTGGGCCTCAGTGACAAAAATGAATGACATCCAGGGCAGCTGCCTCCGTGTTTTCTCTTCAGTCCGGGCTGGTTTCAGACCTTGCTGTGGATCCCACGTAGAGCTCTGCAGCTGCGCCCTGACCCACAAAGCAGAGACGCGCGCTYGTTCCGTGCACCTTTCCGTGCGGCTGCCGAAGCACAGCAGTGGCGCCCTGCATTTTTAGGGGTGCTGCCACAGCTGGCAAAGCTTTGTCCCACAGCAGCTGCATCTGGCTAAGAGGAGATGTGGGTCTCTGTCCCGGGGAGACCAAACCCGGCCGGTTACGGTGCCAGAAAGACTGAATGTCAGCAGGGCCCTTCCCTATGGCACACGTGGTAATTGAAAKAAATAAATAATCTCACCTGAAGCTTCTGTGGGAGAAGTTCATCCATCCTCCACATTCCTTCCAATAATTTCAGAGCAGTTCTGCTCTGCTACCTGCGTATTCATCTTTGAGAAATGGCATTTCATTGAAATGGGTTCAGCAGTTTGTAGGTGGTCCCTTTGCCTCCCCTTTCCCTGACATCTCTTGGCCTGACAGCGTCACACATGSAATCACAGATTGGCTGCGAGGGACCTCTGGAGAGCGTCGAGTCCAACCCCCCTGCGCCAGCASGGAAACATATCTTAAGATATGCATATCTTAATATATTTTACTGAATAACTTATTTACTTATGTTACTTAAAAAAAGAGAGAGAGAGAGACAGCAGAACAGGAGCTGTGTTTATTTGGGGGTGGCGGCAGAGCCGGGTCGGCGTGTGGGGACAGCCGGCCTGTCCCTTGGCCCAGGGCGAGCGGCGCTGAGCGCAGCGGCACCAGCAGCCACCACCGGGATGTGCTGGGGCCACAGCTGGGAGGTGTTGGGATTGCTGCTAGATTCCCAAAGGTTTTTTTTTTTTTTTTTTTTCCTTTGTGGATTGTTTTATGTTTGCACCTTTCCCTTCTCCTGAGCTTCTCCTGCCTCGGCAGCAGCAGGGAAGGTGCTGACCT